GCGACCTCCTCGATTTTCCCCATAATTTCTGGCAGATTGATCATCGGCAGACGCGTGAAGAGCAGTGGGATCGTAGGGGTTAGCAGCCTTTTTCGCCATCGTTGTTTCCTCCAAGATATTCATGGATCGGGCTTTGTAAAAAAAAGGGGAATGGGGTCGTCGTGTCGAATTTGTGTTCCAACGGTAGCACATGCATCAGTTAAACCGGAGACAAGTCGAAGTACTAACCTGTTGTTTGATACAGGAGCGCCAACATTTGATAATTGTTATGCTAGTGTTTTTAGATGCTGGCAGTAGGAAGAGTCATCTGGAAACTTCTCCATCCGAACCGCAGAAAACTCTTGTTCCAGGTAGAGTGCCCTTGAATTTTTATTGTTTGAAAAAATCTCCTCTAGCCTGTTCCACGCGAGTTCAGCGGTAGAATTTCGTTCAATAATGGTATGCAGAAGATCTTCAGAGATTGTGCCGTAAATCCATTGGCGTCAACTCTTGACCAGAGTTCGGGATCCGTATCTTTAAGAGATGGGGAAGAATCCAATTTCGCTGCCTCCTTGGATGGAGGAATGATTTGGTCTAGAACTTTATATGCTTTGGCATGTATTTTGAATAGTTCTGACCAGGTAATATATTGGCCTTTTTCATTATCAAGTGTGACCTTGATGAAGGTATTGATATTAGAAACGGTGAGAGCCGGATGAAGTAAAAGAGAGGAGGAAGGAGTAGGTTGAGATTTAGAGGAAGAAGAGTAGTTTTGGCCAATTGTATTGTCTGCCATTGATATGGCTGCCCAGGGAGGAAGAAAATGACGAATAAAGTTTAAAGGAATAAAAACCTGGGTTGCTCTAATACCATGTAAGAAATATTATTTTCCCTGAGTTTATTGATTTGCCTTGAGCCTCATATATACAATTATGGGCAACGCTTATATTCCTAAATAAGGTACATAATAATACAATTAATCTAAAATATTCTAAGAATAATAATATTTACATATTTATGTAATTTCCATAATCTAATAAATTCAACCATTCAAACAGTTTGATTGCAGTGCAATCACGTACTTGGAAGAATAAGTGCTTGGAAAACTTGAAAATTCACTGATTACATGAGCTTTACAAAACCTTAGAAAAGCTTATGTGCCACTAGTAGCCCAGAGTAAACAACCTTATGTGCCACAGGGCACAATTGTCTTTGAAACCCAATAATAATAAATAAATAAATGTATACAACCTTATGTGCCACCGGGCATCATTGTCCATTGTCCATACAGAACAAACCCTTCAACCACACAAATTATACTCAATGAGTTTCCATCAAGTTTAACACTGAGAAGCCCTTTCTTCTTTGTTGTTTGTGTTGATGAGAACTCACTCACAAGGGGTCTCTTTACCACTGAACTATCACCCACAACTTCACCATTGCCAATCTATTGATACATTAAGTTATTAAGTTATTTGAATCCAATAGAATAAATTTTTTAGTGTACTGGAGATCGAAGAACACAATTCCCTAAATATTATTGTTCAAAATAATAGAATCAATCTTAATACACTTGAGAAAAGCATATTTGTATATTACATAATACTTGAAACCTATTGTAAAGTGTGATACATATAAAAGAGGAAAAAGCTACACAATACTTGAACGCTTCTAAGTCATCACTTTATTCTTCAATCCAGCACTATGCCTCAACATCAACCTAATAATAAAAGAAATTAGTTACATATTGAAATAAGATTTTTAAGAAAGATTGAAACTATTAATATGTTATTACCCAATAAAATTGAGAACGATGATCACCACTGCCTGGGTGGAATACTTTCTACAATATGTGAAAATTCAAGGCTGGCGGATCCTCACAAGACCCTGTTCGATTCGTTGATGTGCCAAATTCTGAAAGCGAGGTATTTTCCCAATGCTAGTTTCCTAGGGGCGAACATTGGCCACAACCGTAGCTATCTATGGAGGAGCATTCACGCGGGTCAAGGGTTATTGCGAAGAGGAGCTATTCGGCGGGTGGGAGGCGGTAAAGATACGTTAGTTTGAGGTCAGTTGTGGGTGGCAGATGCAAACAATGGACCTCTGAGTACGCCATGCATAGAAGAACTTCATGATGCTAAGCTGTGCCAATTAAAGACTAGCGAGGCCATGAAAAAAAGCCAGCGAATCACATGGCTCATGTGCTCAGACAAGCTGCTGGTTCCTCTTCTTTCCTTGGGGTGTGGATTACTCACCCACCTGATTGTATTTCGATGTTGATTTAATATATCCCAGTTTCCTTAAAAAAACTATAATATAAAACAGTTAATAAATAAATATAAAAGGAAACTAAAACATGATATAGCATTTTATACTGCAACATTAAAGAAACATAAATTGCATAATCACCAAAAAAGGAAACTAATGTTAATAGAATGGGATGCTCCAAATTGTAAAGCCAAGCTCCAAATTGCTCTTCCTCAATCTTCTGTTTTAGTCTTGGTGATGGAGTGCTAGGTTTTAGGCTATATTTATAGGTGATTTAGGAGTGTTTGAGTACATCATGGAGCTGGGAGATTGAGTTTGATTTTAACTAGGAATTAAGCATGCATGTTTTTTAGGATTCTTTTTTTTTTATTTTAATCTTAATAATTTAGACGTGCAGTTGAGTTTTAATGGGAGTTTGAAATTTAGTAAATTTAACAGAGAATTAATGGAGAATATAATTTTTAACAGGAAAAGGAATAATATTATATATATTATAATAACGATAAAATTAACAATACTTATAATATATGTTGCTTCCTATTTCTAGTATTTGTATTGTCATATTATAAAAGTGTTTTAATATTGTCCTATTGTATTACAAATAGGAATTTTGAAATGGAATTATCGTACGAATAGAAAAGTAGGAAAGAATATATTTTATTAGGAATTGTATTACACTATTTTAAAATATTAGAATATGAATTTTAATGTAGAACTATAGTACGAATAGAAAAGTTGGAAAGAATTGATTATTGCGTTTTTCGCTACTTCACTCTTGCTAGGTATAGCGTAAGAGTTGATTGTGTTGGGATGATTTCCGGATTATGCCATTCTCAAGGGATGGCTGCTCGGAGTTACCCCTAAGTTGCTAACGTCAGAAAGTAAAGACATCGGTATTGTTTGACTGCATGTCACGCGCACACAAAAGATAAACGTCATAGTGAACTAGTAAAATGAATGCTAACAAGTGGTAATCAAATGAAAGGTAGATAGGGTTGAATTGCTTAGTGTGGATTAAGATGCTTATAGAATCATTAGACGTAGGGAAAGAGGATGCAAATGCTAAGTCTAGAGAGTGGCTTGTCTCCTTCCGTAAGTTATACTACTAGGACTTGTTTAGGCCTCACCTAAACTTTTCCACAAATACCTTGCCTACAACTCCTTCCCAGCCAAGCCCTGTAGGGTTCCTGAGCTAGGAAATGCCAAGGATGGGAGCTTGGATTGACCTAGCATAGGTCAATCCCTCAAACAACCATAGGAGGTGATCAAGTTCCTCTGATGCAAACAAATCAATCCCCAACAACAAGACATAGAAGCATTGCAATCAATCAATCCCTAATTCAAGAACTAAGTCACAAAAGCATCATCATCACAAACTTTCACAATTCAAACCCTAGCTAAGCTAGCCTACAATAGCCATAGAAATCATAAAAGCATTCATAAATGTAAACCTAACCAAGCAAATAGAAATGAAAAGAGTAGAGATAATACCAAACAAATAGATTAGGAAATAAAAGAAGCCTTGCAAGATCTCTTGAATTTGGAGTTTGTCAATCTCTTCCTTCAATGAATCTCCCAAGAAATCCAAGCTTGAATCTATTAATATCTCTCTACAAATTGCTCTCTCTTCAATCTCATAATGCTAAGCTATCGAAGTATTCTAAAAACCTACCAAATGTCCTCTCCAAATCTGATCTAGAATTTCTTATTTATCCCCCCCTTTCAATCCCTTCCGCAGCTCTTCCACGCAACCTTCAATGCCCCGGGCAACGCTCGTTGTTTGGGAACTTATTTCGTCCAACGCGCGTCACAAAGCACGTTGTGATACGAGTTGAACATTCTGGAAATCAGCTCTGTTTGTGCCTCTCCACAACGCACGCGGCAACGCGCTTTGTGACCTTCGTAGCTTGGTCTCGGCTTGTCTTCTTTTCCCGCTTTCGCTCCGGTTGTGCCACTTTGCCTCGTTAGTTTAAGGCCGAAGCTTACTTAAACACATATAAAACACAAAGTGTGGTGTTAATTTACAGTAAAATGCAAAACATAGCTAATTGGCACGATATTGCTACACAAAGGATTGTTTTTAGCTTAGAATTCACCATAAATGAACCCAAAAAAAGTGTGTCTTTGACACTTATCACAAGTTTCAATCAAACCAATGATCACTTAAGTGTCAAAGATACACCTAACCCCAACTCAATGATAACTTAATTCTTCCAAAGGTCGATCAAGATAAGTGTCACGCAAACGGAGGGGGTGAAGTCCCTCATATCATGTAATAAATATGCTAGTCATGCACCCTTACTAAATCTACTCAAGGAATATACTAAGGAAGCCCCATACTTCTAAAAGATAGGATGAAAACTAAAAAAGGGATACCCTCTCACACCATTCATCAAGCATGCAATCCAAAATTGGTATTCACCTCTTATCTTGCAAAGGCTTATAGCCGAGCCACACTAGTGGGAACGATGTGTACAAACCAACCGACCCCGGCACGGAGCTTCGTGTTTTAACATCGGGGAAACTTTTTGTGGTCCCGACATAAGCGCTGGTTCTCACACACTTCCACCCTTATGCCAAAGACCGACTCCCCATGGAATAGATCTCTCTGTTTTAACCCGAGGAAGTCTTTTGTGATCCCGATATAAGAAATGACTCCCTCTTTTTGCTCTATTTTTTTCTCATCTCCTAAGACATCACCATTGGGACAACCGACTTCACGTAGAGTTCTACGCTTTTTCGAAGACAGTGCAATGGAATTGCCCCAAGTCCTAGCAAGATGGCTTACCTCTTTTCTTATCTCACGAGATGGCCTCAAATCATATGACTGCAAACTCAGGTATGTTACTAAATCTTAAAACAAATATGCTGGTCATTTTTAAATATTCATTGGTGATGGTTCTCACTTAAAAATAGATACTGTTGGGGATGTTCTAGTTTCTGATGGTAAGAATGATTTATTAGTCCGTGATGTCCATCATGTACCCCAACTAAGTCGTAATTTACTCTCTATTTGTCAGTTAATATGACAATATCCTTTTAAATTGTGAATTTACCGATAAGATTTTCTGCACTAAGGAACGAGCAACAAGTCGAGCCATAATAGTGGGTCAACGTAAAGGGGATCTTTTTTTTTTCTTTTAATCCAAACCAAAGGAAGCACACTTTTCCAATAGACAAAAGTTAGAGAATGAAGAGCTGTGGCACCAACACCTTGGACATCCGCAAAAATCCACTGTTCAATTATTACGCACTAAGAATTTAATTCATGTTAGTTCAAATAACAAGCTGGACATTGTTTGTGAAAGTTGTCAATTAGACAATCTTAGCAAACTACCTTTTAATTCATCTTCTTCTTCCAGTATTGGTGTTTTTGACAAAATTCATTTTGACATTTAGGTACCAGCCCCTATATGTGATAGTCTTAAGTTAATTTTTTCTTTTTTATTTAGTAATTTATTAACATTTATAATAATAAGGTTTCGAAAAAAGAGATCTATTTTTTTTTAAAATTGAAATATCAAGTAAAAAATGTTGCTTTAAGCGTAACACTAATGTTTAGCCTTTTGAATTAAATACATAATGAAAATTGGTGCCCATTGCAATTTTTGACATGATAAAGTGAATAAAGTGATCACATTTATGTTGAACTTTTTTATTAAAATGCTTTTTTTTTTTTTTTTAAAGGAGAGGAAGAAGAAGGAGAATGAGTGGTTAGAAAGAAGGGGGAGGAGGAGAATGAGAGGAAGAGGAAGCCAAGGGAGAGGAAAGAAGATTTATATATGGAGTTAATTCCTTTTGAGGTCCTTTGTCTTTGGTGTCAGTTTCAAATTTAGTCCCAGACTATCATTTTTGTCATTTAACATTACAGACTATCATTTTTTGGACACTTTTAGTCCTTGTCATGACTTTTCATATTTTTAGTAAGGGTTTTTGTTTTTTTTTTTTTTTGTCTTTACACATTTTTATTTTGTTATTTTATTTCGGTTTCAACCGGTTTAATTAGTTTAGGGCTTTAGGTAACCTGTGATTTTTTTCTAACTATATTTTTCAACCGGCTTTTCGTAAATTTCTAAACCAATTAAAGCAGTTGAAATTGAAAAAATAACAAAAGAAAAATTTAAAGAGACAAAAATGCTCGTGAACTCTGGTCTTAGAAAATGGAGGCAAAAGGAGGTCCATCTAGCTAGATGGACTAGGATTGACTGAAAAAAGGGATTTGAGTGTTGGTTGGGGAAATTCTGACTGAAAGCTGATTTATAACCTCTGATTTGCAGTCAAACCCTTTGTGAAGTGGAGGGAATGGCTGCCATGGTGTTGATACTATGGGAAATGATGCACCATGCTTGTCATGCCTGGAGGTGAATGGAAAATAGAAACAGAAACAGGAGAAAGGAGAGTTGCTATGGTTTTGATTTAGAGTAAAGCAACATCCTAGAGCATTCTATGTGAAGGGGTGTTGCTGTCAAGTGGATGATCCCTGTGCTCTGATGGCTCTGAAGTGCTGAAGGCTGATCTGTTTTAAGCACTTTTGGGCTCTAATTTGGTGAGCCCATTGGGCCTTTGCCTGCTTAGGTTGTTTTAGCCCTTTGTAGATAGCCTTGTTAGACTTTTATTTGTTAGTCCATTATGGACCTTTTGTTTGTGAGGGCCTTGGGCCCCTTGGTTGTTTAGACTTTAAAAGCCCTTGTGATTTTTGAGCCTTAGGTCACATTTGGGCCTAAGGCGTCTAGTTGTAAGGCTTCGGCCTCTTGTGTTTGACTTGGAATAAAATTCCAGAATATTATTGAAAAAAAAAAAATATTAAATATATACTAATATTGTTTGAGGAGATTCCGACAAAAAAAATAAAAAAAATAAAAAAAATAAAAAAAAATAAAAAAAAAAATTTAAAGAGACAAAAATGCACTTACTAAAAATAAGAAAAGTCATGAGACGGACTAAAAGCGTCCAAAAAATAATAGTCTGGGATGTTAAATGACAAAAACGATAGTCTGTGACTAAATTTGAAATTGTCACTAAAGATAAGGGATCTTCAATGGAATTAACTCTTTATATATGATATTAGTTTAAGAGTTAATTTCATTACGTGAGACCTTTCATTACTAATTTTACTTTCAAAGGAGCATGGAATCCTCAATAAAAAGAGAGACGTGTGCTCAAATTTTCATATTGTATAGTAAGTGAGTACGTAAATCATGCATTTCACATCTCTTTATGAATTGGAAAGAGATAATTTACTATATCATTTTGTGATAGTCTTAACTCTTAAGTTAATTATTTCTTTTTTTATTTAATAATTTAGTAACATTTATAATAATAAGGCTTTGAAAAAAGAGATATGTTTTTTTTTTTTTAATCAAAATATCAAGTCAAAAATGTTGCTTTAACCGTAACACGAATGTTTAGCATTTTGGATTAAGAACATAATGTAATTTTTTAGCATTTTTTGACATGATAAAATGGCTAAAGTGATCAAATTTATGTTAAACTTTTTATTAAAATACCTTTTTTTTTTTTAAAAAAAAAAAAAAGGAGAAGAAGGAGGAGGAGAAGAGAAGGAGAATGAGAGGATGAGGAAAGAAGATTTATATATGATATTAGTTTTAAGAGTTAATTCTATTTTTGTCTTAAATTTATAGGTGACAGCCCATTTTTAGTCTATTTTTTTTATTTATTAGAACATGCACATTTAGTCCTAGTGTTATTGTTGCATGACCAATTTTTTATTTATTTTTTGAGCTAAAGGACTTAATTCATTAAATTAGAAGCAAGCTAAGTCAATCAACAAGAAAATGAGGTGGAATGTCAAACCATTCCCTCAACCTAACTCAGAAACGGCTTCCCGAGCACCAATGTGGGCAGCACGATTCGCAGATCGCTTAACACAGGAGAAATTAACACCATGAACACTGGATGACAATTCCTTTACATCAACAATAACTAAACCAAAAGCAGAAATATAAGAGTCTGGATTTAAAGCAAAATAAACTAATTGAAAGTCCGTTGGTTCATAAACTAAGCAAAATAAACTAATTGAAAGCAAAATAAACTATAAGAGTCTGGATTGCATCATAAATTTCTTTTGGTTCGTTTAGAAAGCTATAGAAAAATGACTTCTGCGGCAGGAAAATGACTTCTGGAAAATAAGTTATTTTAATTTCCAGAAAACATGCATTTTCCTTTCTAATGTTTGATTGCATTATGTAAAATTGTCCATGAATTAATTAACTTAACATTTTAATAAAATAAAAAGAAGAGGGGAGCGGAGGGGAGAGCTGAGAAAATAAAATTTGATGGGCATGAGGCAAGAGCTAGGTAGTTTGTTTGTATATAATAATAGTGGATATCCATAATTGTAGGCATTTGAATCTGAGTAGCGCAATAATGCAAGTATATATATGTGAAGAGGTAGGCAGGACGAAGAACATCGAACATCGAACATCGAGAAATAAATAAAAAGAATTAGTCCATTGGAGAAGCTAGATAAATAAAAGATCGAGTTTCTCCAATGGCGTCAATAACAGTAGCTTATTATTATGTTCTTGTATTGTTTGTTTGCAGCGCCTATGGGAAACCAGATTTGGAGATGAATCCTTTAGCCTCGAGCTGGCAAACTGTAACTGAAAACGTGGGTGTTTCCGCCTTGCACATGCAGTTGATGACAAACAACAGGGTTGTCTGGTATGACGCCATTAATCTTGGTCGCTCCGCACTGATGCAGAATCCTAAGTGGTGCAGAAAAGATGATAAGGGCCGTGAAGACTGCTGGGCTCATGGCGTTACCTATGATCTCGACACCGCTAAAGTTGTCAAGACACTCAAGGTATATATATAATACTGGCCTGGCCTGGGTACAATTTATTTCATTAATTAATTAATTATATTGTTTTTATGCATATATGTTTAGTTGAGCCTGAATACATGGTGCTCGTCGGGAGGGCTGTCGAGCACCGGAAAATTGATAAGCACCGGAGGCTTACGACAAAGGTTTTCGAGGAATTAGAATCCTGGAACCCTGCGATTTATGCGATTTCAAGGAAGATGTTGGACTTTCTGCAAACAGATGGTAAGCATTATTATTTTCAAATTCTGATCTTATAATAATTAATTTAATTTAATTTAATTTAATTTACTACGTTGAACTGAACTGGCAGGTATGCTTCTCAACAAGTCTTGGAAAATGGTGATTTTATCGTGGTGGGAGGAAGAAAATCTCACAACTATGAAATTGTCCCGCCAGATCAGCTTAAATTCCCGAACAAACAATTTCCGCTTCGGCTGCTCGAGGAAACCACCGACGGCTTTCTAGAGAATAATTTGTATCCATTTGTGTACCTCCTCCCCGACGGCAATGTCTTCCTCTTCGCCAACGATCGCTCCATTATTTTCAACCCTAGAACTGGAAAGACGATTCGGGAGCTTCCTAAGCTGCCAGGGGGGTCCCGGAACTACCCGGCCTCGGGGCAATCCGCGCTTCTTCCTCTCAAACTCACCAAAGCGAATGATTTTGTGAAGGCGGAGGTTTTGGTTTGCGGCGGCAATACACACGAAGCCTTCAAGGTCACGGAGCATCCGCCGAGGCAATTTCCGCCGGCGTTAAAGGATTGCGGCAGGATTGTTGCGAATCAGGAAGGGGCCAAGTGGGAAATTGAGGAGATGCCGTCGGGGAGGTTATGGGAGATATGTTGATTCTCCCCGATGGGAATGTCCTCATAATTAATGGCGCGAAAACCGGGACCTCTGGTTGGGACGGGGCGGAGGAACCAAATTTCACTCCGGTGCTTTACAGCCCGGATAAACCGAAAGGGAAAGGTTTACTGAGTTGACACCAACAAAAATTGCCAGAATGTACCATTCCACTTCTGCGGTTTTGCCCGACGCTAAGATCTTAGTAGCGGAAGTAACACCCACGATTCCTACGATATGAAAGCCAAATACCCAACCGACATGCGCGTCGAGAAATTCTCGCCGCCGTACTTAGCCCCCGCACTGCAAAAGTTTCGGCCGCAGATCGTGGAGAAGCTTTCCCAAACGGAATTGGTTTATGGAAAGAATTTCAATATCCATTTCAAGCTAGATGATGCGGCGGACATGTCTAGTATTAAGGTTACCATGTATCCGCCGCCTTTCACCACTCACGGGTACTCTGAGGGCCAAAGGATGCTGATTTTGGACTCACCTCTGTGGCCAAGGATACCATCTCCGCCGTGCGCCGTCCTCTGGCAAGCTTGCACCACCAGCTATTACTTGATCTTTGTTGTGCACCGTGGCGTACCCAGCAAGGGATTGTGGGTGCATATTAAATAGAACAGAATAGAAGATACGGGCTCGCTTGTTCAGTGTTGACAGTATTTGGGGTGCAATTAGCCTTACATGCTGATTGAGTCATTGAATTATCGTGATTTGTATCTTTTTATAGTGCAGACGAACTACCGGTGTGAGGGGTGGGGGGTCCCTTAGAGTGGGGAATCCAACCTATAGAATAGAAGACGATGGGCATTGAATTTTTTTTTATTTTTGTAATCTTGTACAGAGTACCATATAATAATATATACAGTACAACATTTTCTATAAGAACTTATGAGCACAGTTCTTAAATTCTTTACATAAATTAATAAATTAAAGAAATTGAAGAGTGGGAGGAAGGTAGAGGTTTGCAGGTTTGAAACATCTCAAAATTATACGTACAATTGTTAAATTTTGTTTCTTATGAAATGGTAATTGTGATTTCTTTCCTCCTATGATAGATTATTAATGCAATCATGAGTGGGTGGAATACTGGAAAATATAGATGTATACTCATGATTATTGTTGTTGGGAGAAGGAGTTTGTGTCACCAACTCTAGTTCTCCCAAATGGAGTCCCAGCCCTTTGCTTTCTCTATCTTCCTCTCTTCTTTCAAACCTTTAATTTCCGGCGGCCTTTTCACCTTAGTGCATGTGAAAATGATACTAATAAACAAAGTTATAAGTGTAATAACATATATTATCAAATGATAATGTAATTAAAATTTAAATGATCTTGGAGTGTAATTAAATGATACTTGAACGTGCAAAAATGAAACTAAACAATTAGAACTCATACTATAACGTATATGCAAATGAAATGATACGACGTAGTTTTACTTCATGATGCACATTGCAATGTGGATTATGTGGACCATAGATAAACGTTCATTTTTAGTATAATGTTTGTTTTTAATATGCAAGTTCATTTTAAATATTATACCAAATAGTGAACGACCTTCAACACAATAAATTAACATTCAATGTATTAAAAATGAACTTTTAGTATATTAAAAATGATCATTATGTAAGTGGATTTGAGTGGGTGATTGTAACACCCGATTTTACCACAACTCCGCTATTATCAAAAGAAATAGGAACCGGATTAAAGTGAATGGAGTTTGGACAGATGATGCTCCTATATGTGAGTATGTGACTGACTTTTTTTTCTTCTTTGTTTGGCAGGGTTCTAAGGGATAACGAGTTGGAGCTTTTGGAGATGGCAGACACTCGTAGAATCTCCCCAATCAAGGTAGTAGACAAAAATTCAATGACCCATGTGGGCAAGATCGCAAAAACTCGTAGAATCTCCCCCAATCAAGCTAGTAGAAAAAAATTCAATGACCCGTGTCGGCCAATAATATTGATGTCACATAACACAATTAAGATCCATATCGTAACATATCTATCTATGTTTTTTTTTTTTTTTCATATATATGCGATGGGTGAACGACGGGAATTGAACCCGCGCATAGTGGATTCACAATCCACCGCCTTAATCCACTTGGCTACATCCGCCCCCAGACTATGTTCTTATTTTTTCATTTTTTTTTCTAATTACTAATTAGAAATTATTGATGCAATTGGATTATCCATTATTGAAAACTTCTTTCTATACGACATTTTTAATCGTACTTACAGATGGTACAATATCCCCACATATCAAAATTTTTAATCTCCTAAATTTACTTACTCTTGACTTCTACGTAAATTTGACCATGATTAAAGACCGGCCTTCTAAAAAATAATCCCACGTGTGATAGTGTTTGCCATTGACTTTTATTTATTATCATGACATATGATAGCATAAAAGAAAATTGTTTTCTTTG